CCCCAAAACCCCAAAACCCCAAAACCCCGTAAACTAACTTGCAGTGAATTAAGGGAATCATAAATTTTTAAGCTCAAAGCTTTTAATGTTGAAATCATCAAATAATTCTATTTGGTGAGTGTAGAAGGTTCCAATAGCCAAAAGTGTTTCATCATAATTACAAAATCTCAGTGAATCTTCAATCTCCATCTTATCGCTATCGCCTTTTTTATTTGACTATACCACTTAGGTAAATATTTGTGCTTAGAAGAAGTCGCCATGATCAAGTTTGCTATCACCTATCAACTCTATACATTAATCTACTTAGTTTGAATTGTTTGTTTAATAGCTGCTAAATTTCAGCTTCTAATTCAAGTATCTATCATAAGAGAAACCACCAAGAATGAGAGTTTCACAGTTAGATATTGGGATTAGGCCAACATTGATACAGTCGGTTGGCAGTTTTATATCAATTACTTAAAACTGCTTTTATGATTGATGTGCTGTTTGATTGAATAGGATTTTTAAATTTAATCTTTCGATTGTCCTTATTGGAATAAATTGCAATTTAGACTCATCAAAAGCCATTCCCCCAAATACATAAAGATTATCATTCAAAACAATAGCAGAGCTTTCAGATCTAGCTTAAATCAAAGATGGCATCTACTGCCAGAGATCGGCTCTTGGACTATATCTTTCAACTATCCTGCTCAACTAGTTTTTGTTTTCTTGTCCTCCAATTGCAAATATAAAAGCCTTGCTGAAATTTACATTTTCATTGGACTTCAATTATCCAACTGTGAGACACACCTTGCTCTTTTTAAATATCATTGATTTCTTTTATTAGAACTCTTCCTTACTTCTGTATAATATCACCTCATTAGTAGTATATTCAGATTCATAGTCCTAGGCACCTCCAACTAAGTAGACTTCATTAGTACCAGGTAAAACTACAATTCTCTAATAGAACAAATCAGACTTTAACACACTTTCCCAAACTCTATTATTTTAGTCATATTATTTTAGAGTGAAATTTTGAATTGAGAATAGTTTCTATTGATCAGTGACTAGCTCTTTCATATTGGTCCATGCGCAGTTTTATAAATTAGAGGAGCCACTAAATAGACTAAATTGACTGCACTCACTCATATCCAGCTGGCAGTTTCTTATCTAAAACTAATCTCCTTCATCTAGATTCAATTATTAGTCACAATTAGTTCCCATAATTTGCACATCAGGTTCTGACTTATTTACAAAAGCATCTTATGAAGAAACATCATTCATCACGGTGTCCTCAATGATTTAATCGAATTTCTCTATTATCAATTCTTGAGATATTTCCTATACCTGAATTACTCTATGATGAAGATCCTTGAGGGATTCAAATGTTTTATCCATATGAGTAATGCTCTTCTCTATTTCTGTGAAAATACTTTCACGATAAAAGTTTTATCTTTTAACTATTGTTGCGTACTTGCTGTTATTGATTTTGCTATCGAATTCATCCTTAATCTTCTAGAAATTTGAACCTTAATTTTCACTAAATAGATCGGCATTTTACTCTACCAATAATTCAAGGGTCTTTAGAGAAGCAGAATCTTTTATTCTTTACTTAATGATTTCTTCGCATCTATTAACCTATTCTTGAAGTTCTTTGCAAAAATCCTTTACTCTATTTACCATAATTTCTTTAATGTGTTCTGTTTCGATCTCTGCTACCTCACATCTGCTTTCCTTATACTAAAGGTAAGCCTAATCATATTTCCTCTTTAGATCTTTCGTAATTAAAGGAGTGAACAAGGCAGAGACACTACTCTCATTTTTAATCTTAGAACTCTCATAAAGGCATTTATTACACATTAGCAAATTAGATTCCCTATCATACCCAATTTTTTATTCATTGTGCTTTTCACATCTCTCCTCAGGACTTATTTATTTTTTCCCTATGTTTTGAAAGATATCACTTTAAGCTTGTGTCTAATGTACATTTACAGGAGTGAATAAAGAAATAGATGGCTTCTTATAGCTATCCTTTTAGAATCTTTAATCTTGAGAAATTTTAAATTATCAAATTTAAACTTGCTAAAATAAGTTAAATGGAACAATAGCGATTTAATCTAATAAACAGCATTCCTTAATAAGAGTAAGATGATGGGAATTTTGCCTTAAGCACATAACAGACATACACTGGCACAGAAAGTTAGCTTGTCAATCTAATTGAGCAAAAGATTGGCTAAATCAAAACTAAAGACTTCAAGAAAGATTTTCCACATCTTGATTCACAGAAACAATAAATAGCTGAAATAGAAGATGCTCTTAAACAGAATAGAGATAAGCTAACTTAAAAGTAGCAATTTTTAGAAGAAATTATGAAGTAAAACACCAAGACAAATGATGAGTTTATGGAGTTAAGGAGGAAACTGATAATATGTTTTGCTTTAATTGTTCTCATTTTTATCTTTCAGTAGTGTAGTTCGAATTTAAAATGAATTTAATTAGATTTTACCAGACTTTCTATTAAAATTATAGCTTATGGGGTTTTGGGGTTTTGGGGTTTTGGGGTTTTGGGGTTTTGGGGTTTT